CTTAAAGACCCAAAGCAATGCACTAAGGCACCCTCACAATGCCTCTGGAGGCTGCCTTGGAAGGGTTCTAAACCAGGAGCCTTCAAGTAGCTCACACTTCCTGTTTTTTTTTTTTTTTGTTTTGTTTTGTTATTTTCTGTGAGCTGATAAAGGAAAATTTACTTTTCTCTGATAAGCACATTTTAAAATTCTGCTGAGGTTAATATTGAGAGAGCTGACCACAAATATTTCTTCCAATGTTCTATGGGAAAGCACCCACGGGATCAGATGGGGTCAGAAGCTAGGATGCCTTGGCCCTGCTAGGCTGGCTGAAGGAGCCCTGGTGATCACAACTGCTGCTCTGGCTTATCTACTGAGTCACATCTCTGAGAATGCCAAACAGCCAAGAGCTGCCAGCAATCCTCTGGGAAAGGAAATTTGCAAATGCCTTCTAGAGAATTCTGTCCCTCGGCTGGCCCCTGATTTGAAAGGCTTGGCTCACCTTGGGGAGTGTGGATAATGAAATTCAGATTAAGTCTGTCTGATTCATGATATACAGCGGGGAGTCTGGTATGCCATGTGGCCACCCATGCTTCTTTCTGGTGGTGAGGGGGGACGTTCCCCCCAGGACACCCACAGAGGATAATCCAAAGTGAAGAAGGCATGGAGGTAGGAGATTTTTAAGTGTACAAGACCCAAACAGCAATGGGGGCATAGAGGAAAGAGGGTTTTATGGAAGCAGATGCTGCTGGTGGATTCCCTGTATTCCTAAAGGTCAGATAATAACCAAATTAGGAAGAGCCATCACAACAGGATGGGAAAGGAATTGAAGTAGTAGCCAAGGCCATGCAGGCTCGTTTTTGGGGGGCCCTGCCAGGTTGAGTCTGTAGCATTGAGGTAACAATGGCTCTTCTTTTAAAAACAGCACAGTTAAGAAGCAAAAGCCTCCACACACCAGGTTGTGTGTCAAGCAGAGGTTTTAGGGGTAGGAGTTTAAAGAGGCTGGATAAGAACTCAGGCAGGGTGCCATGCTATAGACAGAAGGGACAGACATGCTTCCATCAAGTGTTTTGTCATTTTTCAGAAAAGAGAGAAAATGAGATTAGCTAGGTGAAGATAGCAGAGATAGGGTGGGTGGGATCTGGACATGATGGGGACAAGACCCAGGGAGCATCTGACAGCCGGTGGAAGATGGTCAAAGCCAAGTGTGGGGAGCTACAGTGAGAACAGGATGAAGTTCTGAATGCGTCAACAGAGAATGGCAAGGGCCGCCACCCACCTTCTCTGGTGTAAACCCTGCTAGGTGCATGTGCTTCCCATATACAATCAGACTATTCTGCTTTGGGTTCTGTTCCCATATACAATCAGACTATTCTGCTCTGTTTGAAAGGAAGAAGCGACAGCTAATTCGGAAACACTCAACTCTCAGGTTATGGTTAGCTTTTGTACAAGGCTCCTTCTGCCTATGGTTCTGCAGAGTTGATGGCGAGGCCTTGCTTATAGTTCCAGGTGACTTGACAGAGTGGTCCTGTATAGTCACTTTTCCTGGAGCTGATTCTTAGCCACCGGCCCCCACCCGTCTCCAGTTACACAGAGATCTTCAGCCATTTCTCACTCTTGTGCTTTCCTCCCATCCAGCCTGCACCATAACCCACCTGCTTCACTTCCATTCACCTCTGTGAGATGGGAAGTTCTCCATCAGGAGCTGGGGACTGCAGTCAGCGATTTATAAGAACTACTTCATGAGCCCTCCATCACCCCCAACTGCTCATAAAACTTTCCCTTCTCTTCAAACAGAGACCCTTAGCCCTAATTAGCACTCACGCCCACATATGCATGCACATGTGCACGCACGCACATGCTGCAATCTGTCCCTGAGCCTCCGAGGCCGCTTAGAACTTATCAGGCAACACAAAACAGCTGGCCCCTGGTCCCTTTTGTCATCGCTCCTGTAAATCCCGGCACTTGCCTCTCAGTCTTGTTAGGTGCCGGAACTCCCACCTGAAGCACTCAGGTCTGTCCCTGAGCCAAGATTGCTTCTGATCAGAGGCAGCTACCCCAGCAAGGAAAAGCAAGCCTGAGCCCCTTCCTTCCATCAGATGTCTCAGTGCTGCAGCCAGGGCTCATTCGCACACATGATTTATGAACTAATTTAGCATGTAAGGAAACATCTGCATTTTGCTTTTATCATCTTGCCAGCAGACAGGCTGAAGACAAGATGCGTACTGTAGACTTGTTTAATGGGGCCTTAAACATTCCCTCTCACCAGCCTGAGCTTGCACAAGGCTCTGGTTTCAGGACTTGTCTGATCTAACTGACATAACACAAACAAACACAGAAATAAAACTCTCCTAAACATGTCCGTACCACAGGGACAGTTGGAATGGCCATAAAATCCATTCTGGTCAAGTCTCCCCAAGAGCATTCTAGTGGCCAGGACTGTCTTGGAATTTGGGAAATAAAAAGGTGACTTGGTCATTTAATACTATGCATCCAGACTGGGTCCCTTTTATTATATACAGTTTTAAAATGCTCATCTAGAGGCACATGAACTTATAAGGATATTTGTTTTGGGAAAAACATCAAAGTTGGTTGATGTTGCTAGCAGAATTGTAACCCCCCCATCCACAAAAACATACAGTCAAGTCCAAATTCCTAAAACTGTGACTGTGACCTTCTTTTGACCTTGTCATTGGAGATCTGGTCCTTGCAGATATAATCAAGTTAATATGTGGTCACATTGGATAGACGAACCTCAGCTCAGTATGAGAAGAGGAAATTGGATTCAAAAGCACACAGACATAGGAAGAAGGTCATGTGAAGACAAAGGCAGAGACTGCAGGGGGGCATTCATGAGTCAAGGAGCACCAGGGATGGCCAGAAGGCACCAAAGGAGGGAGAGAGGATGTGACATGCTTTGCTCCAAGCCTCCAGACAGGACTGGTCCTGTAGGGGCCTTGAGTTTGACCTCTGGTCTCCAGAATTCTGAAAGAATGTATGTTCATGATTTTAAGCCAGGATGTGTGTGACAATTTCTTACAGCATGGCAAGAAAGTAATGCGGGTATATCAAGGCCATGATCCCTCTGATACTGTGGCCATTGGCATTGCATAGACAGAAGGGGAGGAGCCCAGCATGGTACCTGCTATAGCCTGAATCTGTAGTACCTTCCTCCTGTGTGTGAGCTTGGAGACTTTAAGAGATGGGGTAAAGTGGGCATTTTCAGGTCACTGGAGGTATGCCCTTGAAGAAGACTGTGTGTGATCTTGAAGACTTTAGAGACGGGGTAAAGTGGGCATTTTCAGGTCACTGGAGGTATGCCCTTGAAGGAGACTGTAGGATCCTGGCCCCTTCTTTCTTTTGCTGCCTGGCTGTGAGATGAGCATCTTTGCTCCACTTTGCACATCTCACCATGATGTGCTGCCTTGCCATAAGCCAAAAAGCAAATCCCACCTACAGTGGTGCTAACTGATCATACTGAAACTTCAAACACTGAGCCCAAATCAACCCCTTTCTCCTTGTAAGTTGATTGGTCTCACATGTTTGTTATAGTGATGCAAAGCAAACGAATCTATCACCATACTGATTAAGCTCCCTACAGTCCACAGGTCTCTGCTGCTTCCTGCACAAGCTAAAGGCTGAAAAATGGAGATTGTCCAATGCCACCCTGTATGTGTGTGCTCACTGTGCTTACCTATTGACATCGGGGTTGGTAGCCTAACACTTGGACCAAGCAAAATCTTTAGTACCTTGCATGAGTGAAGGTGCCGAGGAGATATTCCCACTGTGGCTGCCATTTGGTCTTCACAGCACCTTGAGACAGCTAGAGACCTGACAGTTCTCTAGAGAACACACCTACACCAAGCCTGTGTCTGTACCCAGCTTGAAACACTAGATAGGCACACCATGTGCATTGGGCAGCCCTTTGTACATCTCGATGGTTGTCTTTGTTTCTTATCAGCCTGGAATGTGTCATGGGATGGAAGCAGCAGGTAATTTGTCAGATCCCTTGCATAACAACAATGTGTTCAAGTGTGCCCATAATGGGGTCTCTAGACAGCTTTCCTGAAGTGCTCTGGCTGGCAGGAAGGAGCCAGTCAACCCACAGAACAGGGTCTGATAGGAACTTATTACAAAGGCTCTCCTCTTCTCTGTCTCCTTCAGCCACCTCCTCCTGAGATCTTGGTAAGCTTGCTAAGCTGCGCTTTATTGAATATGGTTATTTTCCCCCAGAGGACTTTAACTCAAAATCATACTCCTGATTTCACCTCCTGGGAGCCAAAACATTTTCCTAGGAAGAGAAACCTCATTCTTGTGTTCACAGCAATAAACCAGAGGCTTCTCCAAGCCTCCTGATTTTAAGATTTGGGTTGGCAGGCCCTACATAAGTGATATGATGTTCCAGTCTTGCCTTCATCTCTTGTTATTCTTGCTAGCTCAAGGGCCTGCTTATGAGGTCCACAAAGAAGACTGAGATCAGTCTTGCTCACAGTGATGTTCTCAGCCGCCCCCCCCTCCCAGTGCTGGGCCCAGAAAAGGTTCCTGCTAACTCCTTCTCCTATGAGTGTACCCTGCCTCCCAGGGTTGACTTGACCCTGGCCTCGCAGTTCTGGGCAAGCTGGCCATCCTTCCTCTGAGCTCATAGCAGGAAGAGGTCTCAAGATGACAAATGTTGATGCAGACAAGCTGGAGTCAACTTCTCGCCCCGAGGTCTGTTTTGCAATCTATAAAGGGCAAAGGAGATCGCTTGCAAGTATCCATTAGGAGCCAAGAATTTGAACTTACTATCCTGGCTCCTACAGTGATGTGGCTCCTTTCCCAGCTAGAATGGTGAATTTGTGTCCCGAGTTATTTTTGCTGAGTTGCATGCCCATATGTAACCTCTCAAAATGAGCTGGCTCCCAGAGAAGGCTTCAGGATACTGAGGTCTGCGTATGCCGGGGGCATCATCTGAGATCACTGAGATCATCATTTGAGCCTTTGGTGAAGGCTAAAGGCCTCCTGAACCACCTGTAGCTTACCACTAAGAGGGTGGGGAATGGTGAACTGCTTCTTGTGGGCGCGGACAGGAAGTAGGCTCTGCTTCTGCCCCAGATTTTCCTTTTGCTGGGCTTTCCTTTGCTGTACCATGTGCTTAAGCTTTTGCAGACGTTCTTGTGAGCGAGAAATGAACTGCGGTCTACGGACTTCCAGTGCTTCCTAATTGGGACAGAGAACAGATTTTACTTTTTAAGAGAAAGGAGACCAGGAAAAACCACATCCACACACTCATCTTATTTACTCAATGGGAACCCATCAAGAGCACCACACTCAGCAAGCAAAAGTCACAGTGTAAATCCATGTCATCATTTCCTCCTGTGACTATGTGTAAAGATAGAATGGGCACACTGATGAAAATCTGATGGAGGTGGTTAGTTCCAGGCAGCAGCACAGAACCCCCTGCAGCAGGACCAAGCAATAACTAGTGTTGAAACCACTGAGTACCAATGGCCAGCATCTGTCCATTTGTGGATTCATGCTGCCAAGACACTCACTACCAGGGAGCCCAAATCTGAGGGTTCTGCGCAACAGGGGTGGGGCTAGAATTCTGCATACTCCTTTCTGCTGGGGTTGGAGTCTTAGGAAGCACAGGTATTGTCCTGGCATGGAAAACAGTGCCTTTCAGAAGTCCTGTCTGTGGTTTACTGGGTAGAAATCAGTACTCAGTACAAGTTTGCTGGGTATGCTGCCAGGCTAGATGTGCTCCTTAGTCCTGTTCCCCTCCATGCCCACTGGGGGCTCAGAGAGGGACATACCATGAGCTCCATCTGTGTCATACATGTGCTCCTGGTAGCTGCACTGATAAAGGAGTCCCTCTGGCAATGCAGGCCATCAGCTACTGAGTAAGTGACTCACCAGTCACTAAATGTGCAGAAGCTTCAGGGAAGGATCAAGGCTGGAGACAACACCTCTAAGAAGGCCCTGCTCGCCCAAGTGTGGCTGCTACTTTACTGTTCACACATCTGAGCACATCTTAGAGATTCTGGATTTGGGGGACACGATGGGTGCTTTTTACAAGCTCCTTAAGGTCCAGGGCTACAGCCGTGAACCAATGGAGCTTTCTTCACATTCAGGGAGAGGTGCACCCCGTAGCAAGTGCCTTATCCCCAAAGTGCATCTGACTGCAGAATGCTAGTAGTGGCAATTTTCTCCTGAGGTAAACGCCCTCTTAAATATTACAGCTTTAATTGATATATGTATGTTACTAATATAATCAGAGAAGAAGTTAAAAGAAAAAAAAGTTCAAGTCCTTCAACCCATGGCTACATGACTTGGGAATTCCCTTGAATCTTTCAAGGACTGTGTACCCTCATCTGTCTATGGGGTATATAGAGGCTCTCATCTGAGAGGGATCTTTTGATACTCAAATGTGAACTGACCCTTGTGACCTCTGGACATCCTTTCATTGCTATGGTTGTGGTTGACAGCACCAACAGTTCTCATTCTTAACGGGCAGAGTGGTATGTCATTGTCTCCAGGAGGCAAACAGCAGAAGAGAGGTTAGAAAAGGTTAAGGAGGGGCCAGTGACAAAGACAGGGGACTTCCAGTCTCAGGCAGAAGTGAGGTCGGGGTGTGTGCCACACTCCCCAGGAGAAACCTCCCCTGGGATAGAGTCAAGCAGGATGGGGAGGAGTTGAAGGCTTTACCTGCAAGGTCATAGAGCTTGCCAGCAGATGCGGAGGCTCAGAGCTACCTTCCGATGGGTCAGGGCTCTGTGGTCCCTCTGCGGTTGCTGGAGAGGGCATTGCTGATGAGGGCACAGGTGTGGCGATCAGGTCCTTGCGCTTCTCCCACTCCTTTAGTTTTACAACCAAGTCGCAGCATGTGTAATCTAGGAAGGCAGATTTACAATCCATTTAGAGGGCACCCAGCAGCTCCCCTGCCCAGCTCCCAGACACAGGAAGACACACAAGGCAATTTAGAGAATAGAAATGCCAGTGAGTTGTTAATGGGCCTCGTTAGGCCCATGAGATGAGCCTCACCACAGAGCTCCACAGCTGCCCTAGTCATTGCAGCAGGCGTCAGCCCGAGTCCACGACTGGCTAGTTAGGCCACAGAGGCGCTCCTTACACTGCAGTGCTCAGAGTGCCTTTGCTCAAAATGAAAGACTTTTCTAGTCTGGATTTCATATTAAGTGTGTCTCGTGTAATTATTACAGTTCGCTTGCTTCAAGACAGCATATTAATCTGTCTTGTGTTTGCCACACTAACGATATAATGACCAGGGATGGTGTTCAATTATGTATCCCTCCCCTTAATTTTCCAGAGTCGACCACTGGCTTCACATAAGTAATCAGAGGGTTTTTCTCTCAAAGTGGTGGGGCCCTTTCCTGGGGTCATTTTAGTTTCCTTTGTGAAAAGGGTCAGACTATGAGTGACCCCTTAGCATCCTAGGTGAGGCCATCTCTGGGCTACTTCCTGATTGGTCTCAAATGCAAGGATAGGTCCTTCCATCACCTTAGCCCACCCCTTCCCTCTGATCTCCTTACTCCCCTCTGTACCTTCTCAGTCCCAGCCTCACCTAATTCCCCCTTTGTCCTAACCCAGCATCTTTATGCCCCAGATGGCCTCATGATTTCCACTAAGTGCCTTTGGTTCTACTTCCTGGAAAATCCCCACCTCCAAGCTGAGTCCTGACTATCAGGGCCCTTCCTTCCCTTCATCCCTGCTGCCTCCATTCTGCAGCATAGTCATAAGGAAGGTTTTAGGATCATGTCTTAACCCCACTGTATCATCTACATGCTTCCTTCACATGTATCTACAGCACCAGGTATAGTGCCTAGAAAGGGATGGTTCTCTTGGGAGAGGCAAGGTGGTTATGAGAAGGCTTTCCTGGCCACTGGAGACATTCCATCCAAGCCCTGCTATGATTACATTGTTTATAGCTGTTGGATCCTTTCTCTACTTAGCTGCCCTCCCCTCTCCAGTCCCCAGATGACCCAATCTCCCTCGGCTCTTATGCCACCCTGTGTCATAGGATTCTCTACCAATACCACACTACTTAGCTCAGGCCATTCTTCCAGCCTTCAAGCACATTCTCTTGTTCCTTCTAGAGGATTCCCTTACTGTCCCACTTTCTCCTTAGGCCTAGCCAGTAGCTCAGGTTAGCTCAGGTTCAGCCATTAGCCAGCACCCTCTTTTCCAAAAGTAATCCCCTTCTCTACCACACTGCTGCCATTCTCCTTGTGAACACCTCTTCCCCAGCTCACAGAGAAACCAGGATCTTCGCATCTTTTTCCTCCTCCGTCCTCACGTAGAAACAATAACTTGGGGGCTAGTCCTCGCATGCTGGCTCCTCACTGCTCGTGGCATCTGTTCCCAGATCCAGAATTCCTCTACCCCTGTGGCTTCTCCCACTACTGAGACCTCCTCTTCCTCCCTAGCTGGGCCTTGGTCCCAGCCTGGTCCCTCTCCCATCGGTTCACATACTGCTCATGGGACAGTCACCTGGAATGCAAATCCCACTGAGATTCTTTTCTTTCAAATTCTCAGCCCTGCCTGCAGTCCAGATTCCTGCAGTGGGTGGAGATGCTCTTCCAACTTAAACCACCGGGACCTCAGAATCAGAGAGAACCCAACCCTGGTTCTGGTGTTGGTCTCCTGGGCTACTCTCAATCTCCAAACCAGCCCTGGCCTCCCGGAGTTCTTGCTTTGCGTGCCTTTCCATCTACTCTCAGCCTGTCTTTCTCTCCAGTCTCATTTTAAACCTCTAATGACAGTGACGCCCCAAATTCCAGCTTAGAATCGCTTTGGACAGAGCTCTCTGAGTGTGGGCCATCCTCCATCCTCAGGCTCCACACATCCACACCTAACAGTTACGCTGTGCCTTCTGCGCTGCGGAGAGTATTGGCCCCAACACCCAGCTTACAACAGGTGTTTAATAATTGCTTCTGCAATCAGTTGATAGTTACAAAACATAAGAATCAACTCCCAGTAATGTTAATTTTGCCAATTACTATAATCAGTTTAACTTTTATCATCCCAAACAATATGATCTCCTATGTGCCCTTCTGTCTTGTTCCAAGTTCTTTAAAAATATCTTCAGGGTGATAGGAAGTCCAGAGCCCATTCTCTGTCATGATCTTCTGTCTTTTCACATAGAACTGTTCACTACAGGATTTAGGAGTGGTCAGTAGCTTGACGTACAGGGACATGATGCCTGTGTCTAACCTGGTTATTTCCTCTGTGGGAAATGGAGATGCAGCGCTTGCCTGTATACACTGTGGGGTCCAAGTTGCTCACTTTAAGTGCTGGCTATCAGTCAGGGACTGTACTCTTTAGCTATTATCCCTGTCAGTCAGGACTGGGAGCCTGGGAAGCAGGGAGGGTATGCTATCTTCAGGGTAACTGTACCAGCTCCCCAGACCTTGCAAGTCTCAGCCACAGAGTCAGTTGTGTCTCTTAACTGCAACTGGCACTGTCATTGGCACTGAGTGTTGTAGATCTGGGGGCCCCTGTGATCTGGATAAAATTATTTTCTATCTGCTTGTAAGGTGCGACTTACCCACCACGTCTACTTGTTAGTCCTGCTCCTTCTGCCCTGCCCCCAGATATCTCCACAAGGCCAGCTTGTGTGAATCATCCAAGAAAGGCCCTGAGCCATTTTCTTTATGTGCATCAAGAAAGCCCAGGGACCACCGCCCTCACTCCTTACCTTTCGGGGACTCCTTTTCTATATGAACAGTATCATCTTCCTGCAGAGAGGCACATGCAGCTTGTAAAGGGCAAAGAAAGCCAGGCAAGAGGACTCTGTGTGTCAGGAAGTATGGGTGCAGGTGCCGTCTCTCTTGGGGCTCAGGAAAGATGCTACACTGACCATCGTGGCTTGGTGGACTGTCCCTGACAGGAGGGAAGTGTTTAATGGGCTTCTGTCCCGCTGGGGAAGAAGGAAGAGTCACTTGTGCTTCTCCTTGCTGCTCCTTGCTGTTTCCAGAAAGTACTTTTGTTTCTAATAAAAATAAAATAAGAGTTGACTCAAAACATCTGATGAGGCTGCCTCTCAGGTGCCTGATGATCGTTCCATTGCTCTTCTGGTTAGTGGGCTACAGCAGGGCTTCAGGGAACAGTGGGTAGTTGGTATACTGCATGCTAGCAACCTTAACATTTGGTCAGCATCCTTTACTCTGAACTGTAGGTTAGGATCTCTCTTTGTATCCACTGTTACCATCATTTGTATGTACTGTTACCATGTAGTTAGTTGTGAAGGGATGGTGCCCAGTGGTGTCCTTGGGAAGTCCCATTATTTTTCCTATCATGCTCAGCAGAATAGGGAATGGAGCATCTTGAACTTGGGCTTGACCCATAGTGCCTGAGTTCAAATCCCAGTTCTACCACTTAAACTCACAGCTTCATCTATAAAATCTAGGTAGGTGATAATAGAATCAGTGAATACTAGACCCTCTTCGTTTGCTCTATCATTTGGTCTTACCTAACAAATAAAGAACTAGAATACATGCTATAGAATGTATTCGATTATATTTAGTATACCCAAGAACATTATTTATGTAAATATCAAATATTAAAACAGGTAACAAGAAAATAATAATGCATAGAGCATCTGATACACACGAAGCATTGGCTTATTCCTATTATTACAGATACTAATGTCAAGACGTGTCATAGCAAGTGCAGAGGCAGCAAGCAGAGCCTCATGCCTCCATCAAGCTCTGAGGAAAAGGTGGATCTATAGATGTGTGACATATGCTGTTTCTACAGCATGACCTCCAGTTCCCCAGGCACCTGTGTCCACCAATCAGGGACCAGTGAAGGAAGCTATATGCATCTGTGCTTTGCAGCAGCTTAAAGAGACAGGTGTTGTTCAGTAAATGTGTACTCACATTGCAACTGTATTGTCCATCAAACAAAGCAAAATAAGGCACATTCATAGCAAATGCTTCTTAGCATAGGATATCTCTGGAGAGATATGATGATGAGGGAAGGGACAATGCAGGCTAGAAGTGGGAATGGAAGAGATACTGTCTCTATGATGTCTGTTTAATAGGCTGGGGGATATATATATATATATATATATATATATATGTATATATATGCTAAAGCTTCACAATTTCCTGTAAGGTTTAAAGAGATGTCTGCTTTAGATAAAGTCATGACTCTGCTTGAGTTGCCATCACCCCATGCTGATGTCCCTAAAGGAAGCAGCTCCATTGGAGGTGGGAGCACCCACTGTAAATGAAACAGGCCCTCAAATGTTTGTGTGTTAAGGCAGGGAAAAATAGTGAGTACCACTAGAGTAATAAAAGCTAGGAAAGTCACAACTCTGTTTTCTCAAGAGTGTCCTACACAAGAAAGAATGGACCCATGACACTGCTTCTCTGAAGATGTCACAGGTGACCTGCCAACAATGTCCCACTTTCTATAGCTTGCTTTTCCCCTATGTATCTGAGAACAGCTGACTGTAGGTAAAGCTAGCCGTGCAGCCCAGTGTGAAAAGCAGCAATATTAGGGCATAGGAGTTCCCCAAATCACCTTTATGAATTTGGGGTCCAGCCCAGAGGAGTCTAGTTGACAGTTTTTGATTTCTGTTCATAATGGGGGCCAATCTGTGTTCCGTATGCTTCTTAAGCAAATTTCAGAAAACATTTTTACTGGTCCCAGGCCAAAGTGCTGAATGTGTGGCAGCTGCTAGACCTTGTTTTAGGAGTGCAGACATCCCCACATACAATAAAGCTGTATTTTGCTAAATTGTATGGAAACATGTTTATAAACCTTTACTCCAAAGATCACCAATTATGTTTAATTATAAAATACTGTAGGCAGAAAATGGCCTATAACAGTCAACCTTCCTACATGGCTTCCTTTCATTAGAAACACTCAGAAAAATGTACAAAAACCAACTAATTATCAGGGATACAATCTCTGTCTGCCTGCTCACAAAGGCCATCCACGTTTGAATAAATGTATTTACTTATAGATTTATGGAGAGTAATAAGTCAATATTTCTACCCATCTGGTATCTGTCTTTTCCTAGTCCCTCTGTCTGTCTAGATGTTCTAACATAATCAGTGTCAGTTAAATGCTTCATTTGTGACTTGAAGGGGTTGCAACAATTCCAGAGAATAGGCTACAACTTCTATGTTGGGTAATTTATTGATCCTATATCTCCTGTGGATTCTGTGGGTACCCTGCTGATAGTGTCTCTTTTGTGAACTCTGAAACATGGCCTTGAAAGCTATGCCAGTAAGAAAGTTCCCTAAATATTTATGTATTGGGGCAGGGGAAAAAAGAATGGGCACCACTGGAATAATGAAAGTCAGGCATTCGCACTGTTTTCTCAAGCGTCTGCTATGCAAGAAAGAATAAACCCACGACATAGGCCTGCACAGGCAAGCAGTATGCATGGCCTTTTTGTCCCATATCCTGGGGAGGATGGACTTCAGGTCCTTTAGTCATACCCTGAACTCATTTTCTCATAGATGCAACTAAATACCTAACGGAAACAACTTTTGGAAACGAGGAGGTGTTTTGTTTTGCAGTTTGAGGGGCTAGATCCCCTCAAAGTGTGGAGGCATCATGTTGGGGCTGGTTTGATGTTAGACCATAAGAGCTTGTGAAGCAACTTCCTAATACTTCCCCTGACCAGGAGTAAATATAACTCCAGCCAAAAGCCAAGCAACCTTTAACATTCTTGTCCAGTGAGGCCTTATATCCTAAAGCTTCTACAGTCTTCCCAAATAGCATCCCCACCTGGGGACCAACTATTCTAACATACCCACACCATGATGCTCTCAAATTGGTACTTTACTACTACAGGCTCTGCTATTGTATGAAAAACCTGAAAAAGCAGCATTTATGCCCGATCTTGTGATTTTTTTTTTGTCTTTTTACTGAGTCTGTGTGTGGAAAGGCTTTGACACTACACATTTCCTTCAAACAGAAACACCAACAGGTTCCTTTCATGGTCTTGCTTGATTCAACAGGGCTTCACTCTCCAGCACACTTGCCTGCCCTAGAATTGAGCTGAGTACCAGAAAGCAAACAGACACCAACAGAAGATTTTTGACCAGCAGTTAAAAAAAACTGCTTCTACATGGGACTGACTCAGAACCCCTGAATGTGAGTATAAGTGAGGAGGCCTAGGTAATCTATGGGGTCTTGGGTAGTATTTATCCCTGGCATACAAATAGACTTTGAGTGTCCATGCCACAATATGGGAGGCTCTCTCAGCTGGAACTCTTGGGGGAGGGCCTAGGCCCTGCCCTGGATGAAATAACAGTCACTGGAGATCCACCATGGAGGGCCTCACCCTCCCTGGGGATCAGAGTGGAGATTGGGTGGGGGACTGGGTGACCTGGAGGGGAGGGCAGGGGAGGAGGGGAGGGAGAGGGCGCTGGGATTGACATGTGAAACAAGATTGTTTCTAGCCTAAATAAAAACCAATAATAATTATTTTTTAAAAACTGCTTCTATTGATGTTATATCTTTGATTGGGAAGGATGTTGGGCCATTGTGCTGCTACCTTTATCAATACCTTTATCAATCTCACTGTACTTGTATGTTCTTAATACCAAAATTCTGCACACCACACACAAAATCACTGTCATGTCAAAAGCTTCCAGAAAGAGTTCAGCAGAGTGGGCAAGTTAGAAGCAAATCATGTCCTAAACAGGCAAGGCTAACGCCAATGAGACCCGGCAGGGCTGCTGTGTGGTCAGGCATGCCAGCTAGTGGTTGTGGGTGTGGCCGAGTGTGCTACTCTATCCTTCTAGCTCCTGACCTACCCATGTTTAGCAGGTAGAGTAGGGAACCCTGAGGTAAACCAGGGCCTTCAACAGGAGGAGCCTAGTGTAAATATGACCGGAAGAACCTCAGCAATACAGCATCGCCGGTCTGCTGAGAAGGGGCATATGTGGGCCAGGATAGGGTACTACAACTTACATAGGTTCTTAGTAAGCAGGAGAACAAGGTGGGCATTTCCATGGATATTTTACCTCCAGTGGTCATAATATACCACTATGCACATTGGCTTAATAGAAAAAGTCACTTTCCCATTTCTTTCCCAGTATTCAGGAGATCTTGGAGCTGTAGTGACTGAGGGGTTTTGGGTCACAGCAGACAGCAATAAAGTGCTTAGAAACTGCTTACAAAGACCCACACAACACTAGAACTCTGTCAGCCAGATGTCAAAGGCAGAACATGAAATCCAGGAAAAGTGGACACGAGCCCTTAAGAGGCAGCTGCAAGAATAGTCCATAGTGCAGGTCAGATATTGCATGAAGAACTCATGTTTGATCAATGATACATGAACCAGATTATGTTAGGAGGGTGAGACACTGGAGAAGAGGTTTCAGTTTTCTAGAATATTCATCCTGGTAGACATCATATTTGGGATCAAAGCACAGCTTCCCACTTCCTTAAAACAGACTGTATAGATTCTTAATCTTCCAAAGAAACTCCTGTGAGTGAAGCAGGCCTGTTTAAGTCTAAGCCTTGAGTTTCCTCCATATTTTCATCCAATGGTCATGAACTTCCTCAAAAACCAGACCATTTGTTCAACTGCCTTCATGCTAGAGATACAGAAGCAGAAGCTTGTGCTGATGTCTCTGAACCATGAGCACAAACATCAGTTTCTAAACTCAACTGCAGGGGATGTGTCTCAGGACATCCTAAAGGTACTAATGCTATCTGCTGTTACTCTAAGTGACCCCTGACTTACTCTAAGTTACCCTGGACTCTCAATTCCCTGCTGTCTTTACACCTCTATGTGTGCTTTCACTGGAGTGGTCTGGATCAGTAGCCATATAACCACAGCATCTAACCAAGAACCAGGTGCTCAGCCAGGTAGACACCCACTAGAAATGCAGATGCAGGTCCTGCAGAGAAGACTCAAGCTTGCTAAGTGGGGCTTTGCAGTCCCCTCTCTAGGTACCTGAATATGAGAGGAGGCTGCTATAGAGGAGAAAGAGAGGCAGGGGTTTTCATAAGGCATGA